TAACTATAGTTAGCGGGCTATAAGAGAGCTAGCTATAGTTACGTAAGAAGATAGCTCGGAATAATAGTTAGAATAAGAAGTTACTTAAGCTTAGCTTACTTAGAGTATATATAAGCTAAGTAAGCTTTATATAGATAGATTACTACTTAGGAGTATAGCTTATAAGTAAGCTATAGTAAGCTATAAAGGGGATTATAGCTAGATCCGTAATCTAAAGATAGTGTCTATAAGTATATATAGCTACCTACTTTTACTCTTTTAGATAGATAGCTCTCTAGCTTTTAATATAGATCTTTATTACGATTCTATCTTTAATTTTAATTACCTAGTTATAGTCTATAGTTTATAACCTCTAACTTATTACTAACGTAATATACTTATTATTACTTAGACCACGCCCTATAATATTTACTAATATAAACCCCTCGATAGGTTTATCCCTTAAGAATAATACTAGTCGTTATAGGGGCCTAAAGACTATTAAATATAAATACTATAGCTAAGGAAAGACTAAGAGATAAATTTTTAGACGAACGCCTTTATAGCTAGACTAGCTATATAATAAAATTTAGGTCGACTAGACTAACGTCTCTAGGGACTAAGAAAGCTTTATTAAGGTAAAGCTTTTTATAGACGCTTTTTTAGGGATAGTTTTCTATTATTTCTTATAAACCTACCTAAGTAAGTATAACTAGTTTGCCTTCTAGGACTTCGTTAACTAAATAAAATCCTATTTTAGCTATAAGGTAAAGAAGATATAGTTTAATAAAGAGCTATTTATAAAGGATATCTTAAATTAGCTTTAAAAAAGGGGTATTTTACCCCTACCGTTAATATTAAATACCTAGGCTTAGAACGGAGGGGTAGAAAGATTAAGGGGTGCTATAATAAAAAGGGCCTATATAATAAGACTTACTACGAGGCTTCCCTATAACCTTTAGAGGGAAGTCGTTAAGACCGCCTATTACCTTTAGAACCGGACCCTAAGGGACCCTAGGGGACTAAGGGACTATAGGGACCTAGAGACCCTTTTTAAGACCTAAGGAATAGACTAGAAATTACCCCTCGAGCTCTTTATAAAGAAGAGGGCCTCGCTAGCCTACCTTTATACCTATAGCTATAAGGTATACGCTATAACTACCGATATATAGCTAAAAAGAAAGAAGAAAAGAAAGCTTAATCCTAGAGCCTTTATTAGTTACCTTATTAGTTATAATTCTATAAATATCTTTTAGATCTAGATTTCTCTTTTATAAAAGGTTATTTTAACTAGGGATATAATTTTCGATAAATCTAGCTTCTTTAACGGAAAGAGGGATTAATAGCGCCTCTTACTCTTATAACGTTAGCTAATTTAAAAGATCTAAATCCCCCCTTCTTAATAGTCTTAAGAAGAGGTCCTAGATAAGGAAACGGAAGAAGAAACCGACGTCGAAGTAGTTAAGGATAACACCGACTTTAAAGAAAAAGAGGAAGCTACTATATTAGATAATCTAAACGAAGAAGGAGACTATAGGAAAGTAGTAGAGCTAAAATACGCTTACCTCCCTACGCTTCCTCTTATAGAATAAAAAGAAGATCTAGAAGTAGCTTTTTTAGTTAGTCTTCCCGTCTCGACCCCTAAGGGGGTAGGAAAGGCACCTCTCTTAAGGGATTACCTAGCTACCTTTTTATCCCTGCTTCGAGAAGTAAAGGAAGGTATAGGGCCCGATACTAAAGAAGACTAATTCTCCCCTATTTTAATTATTTTCCCGACTTCTACCTAACGCTAATAAAAGACGGTTCCTATAAAGCGTTTATAGTAGGCCGGCTCTTTAAGCTATAGCTATTAGTAAGGAAGGTATATAAAAGAGACCTCCTAAACCTACTAGTAAACTAGAAGCAGCTAGAAAGACACCCCTTTAAAGACTAGTTTTTCTAGGCCTAGAAAGACTACCTAGCCTTATATAAAGAGATAGGGTCTTTTAAAGAGGTCCTTAAGGAAAACGTAAGAGAAAAATAGGTCCTTAGCTATAAGTAGGTCTTTATCTATAAGACTAATAAATATAGCTTCCTTTAAAGGTATAAGGCCTAGCTAGTTATTTATAGGAACTAGTAGGAAAAAGGGGATCTTCTTACTAGGGCAACTACCCTAGTAAGGATATCTTTTTAGACCCTTATAGCTATAGTAGTAAAATTCGAGCTTAAATAGATAGATATAGTTAACGCCTTTATTAACTACCTACTTAAGGAAGAAGAAGTTATCTATATATGCCTTCTACTAAGCTTCTAATAGCTAGGAAAGGTTCTATAGCTTAGGAAAGCTCTATATAAACTACGAAGATTACCCCTTCTTTAGTAATAGTATTTAATAGGTTCCCTTAAAGCCCTAGGCTTTAAGAAAGTCCCTTAGGAACCGTATATAATATAGAAGGGTAAAATCATAGTCTTCTTCTACGTTAATAATATTATCTAGGCCTACCTAAAAGAGGAAGAAGCTACTACTAGGGAGGCTATATAAGGCCTATAATAAAGGTATAAAATAACTAAGCTAAGGGAGCTAAAGTAGTTCCTAGGAATACGAATCTTTTAGAATAGGTCCTAACGGACTATCTAGCTTACCTAGGACGCCTATATCGATAAGGTCGCTTATAAATTCCTCCTTAATTCCCTCGATAAGAAGCTTCCCTCTACGCCTATATTAAATAAAGAGCTTTTGCCTAATCCGTCCTTTTAAGCTAGGGAGTAAGAGAAATACTAATATTAATAAAAGGTAGGCTCCTTGCTTTTTTTAGCTATTTCTACTAGACTAGATATCTCTTTTACGGTCTCTTAGCTAGCTAGGTATAACTAGAATCCTAGCCCTAGGCATTAAGAAGTAGTAGATAAAGCTATCCTTTATTTCTATTTAACGAGATTATATAGTCTACGCCTAGGAGGGTAGGAAAGGAAGAAATTAGCTACCGAAATCTTCCTCTATTTAAGCGATTCGTCCTTTATAGATAATTCCTTAGATAGAAAGAGCTTATAGGGGTATATTATATCCCTTTTTAGAGGAACTATTGCTTAGAGAGCTTCGAAGCAATCTACTATTACGGCTGCTAGTATAGAGGCAGAGCTATTAGCTCTTTTAAAAGCGTTAAAGGAAGCGATTTTCCTTAGCCGGCTACTTATTTCTTTACGACTATAAATTCCGTCCCCGTTAGCTATAAAATACGATAATATATAGACTATATAGATTCTTATAGAAGAAAATAGTAAGCTATCGACCTAGCTATAGTATATTAATATCTATTAGTATTAGTTATACTAAGAGGCCTAAAGGGGACTTATTTTAGTCTATTAGGTTCTAATAGCATTAATAAAAGCTAACGGTCTTATAAAGCCCCTACTAAAGTAAAAGCTAGCTATCTTTTTATAGTAAATTAGGCTAGAAGACGTTCGAGAGAAGCTATCCTTAGAAGCCCGCCTTAAGAGTCTACGAGAGAAGCTAATAGTACGTAGGAGGAAGGAGACGTCTATAGCTAAAGAGAGGAATTAGGACTTATCCTAAAGGAGGGCCCCTAGCTTAATTAGGACTTATTCTTTTTAAAGGCCCCCTTTTTAGCGACTTATCCTTAAAGAAGCCCCCCTTTCTTATAGGACTTAATTCCCTCCTTAGGTCCCTTTTTCCTAAAGTAGGTCTAAAAGAGCCCGGGGCTAAAACCCGGATTTCTTAAGTAGGGGATAAGTGCAGACTAAGACCTCCTCTATACGCTTACTAGCCCGAAGCCGTATTAGCCATGCCCTTACTATAAGGGCAGGCTATTGCTAAGGGGGTGTGTCGCGAAGCGTGGCCTAATTTCGTAGTTCTCGGAGATATCCCTTAGCACGAGGGACCTAGGAAGCTAAAAAAAATAGGTTTTAAGGAAGGAGCTAAAAGGAGGTATAGAGAGGAGGGTAGGGGTAAGAGGGGAAGCAGAAGTAGCGATAGCTTCCTATAGAGGTAGCGAGAGATAAGACGGATATGCCGGCAACGGCTAGAAAGGAGGGGAAAACCGGTAAAAAGCTCGGTAGTTAAAAGGAAATTAGTAGCTTCTTTAAGTAGGATCTTCTTTATTAATTAAGATATTAGATAGGTATAAAGAGGGGCGTTAGATAGAGGAAAGAAGGATAATTAAGGCAATATAATAATCACTCCCCTACCTTTATTGCTGCCCCCGTAAGAATTAAATCTCTCTGCCCTACTTGTCCGACCCCTTACTTCTAATTTTACCTTTATATATTTTTATACACTTCTCGTATCTCTCTTCGCGAGAATAACTCCCTACCTATTTATATAGAGGGTATTATTATAATAGATTTTACCTCTTTTAACGAGGGATATAAGTTATATAGGATTTATATATAGCCCTTAAATTCGACTAGGTTCTTACGTTAATACTAAGGCTAAAGGGAATTAGCCTCGAAAAGGGCTTAGTAATAGCTTTAAAATTAGTAAAGATAGGTAAAAGATACCCTAGTTATATATACGGGCTTATAACTATCGATAGACTCTTATTCTAGTACTTATAAGGTAGGGGCAGCATAAGAAAGGATAAAGATATATAATCTAGCTAGAAAGAAGCCGCTATAGGGCCCTATTTATGCCGTAGTTAGAGGGACCCTTAGGTGACTTACATAGGCACCAAACTAGCCCTATACGTGAGGTCTTTATAGGTCCCCGATACATAGCCTCATAATAATCCTTCAGGTGGCCCTCCCTTGATCCTTTAGGTGACCTACTAACAGCGGTGCCTATACTGGCCGACAGGTCCTTATCTCCACAAAGAACCTTCCGCTAAGACGTCCGACCAAAAAGCTGACTGACAAGTAATTACGTCGGGCCATACCAGATTGAAAAAATCGTTGGGGGTCACAAACTAGCCTACCGACTACGCCTGCCTTCAACAGTCAAGATTCACAATGTCTTGCCTGTCAGCAGCTTGGAGTTCTATCGGGCTCGGGATCAAGAGCCTATTGAGCCTGAGGACCATCCGTTTATGGCTGATGACGTTGAAAAGATCCTCGGTCATCAAGGACCGAGAAGTCGTCGGAGATATCTGGTGAAGTGGAAAGGCCACGAAGACGAAGAGAACTCCTGGGTGTCCCGAAGTGACTTCGTCGACAAGGAGTTCCTAGCGGACTACGATCGATCTATCGGCAAGGGAGCGTAAGAGTTCGGGACGAACTCCTCGGGAGGGAGGGCAACCTGTCACGCGCCTAAAGTGCTTAACCATGGTAGATGGCTGGTTGATTCCAACTTCTGGCTGAAGCGACTATTCCAGAGAAAAGCACGGGGCTGGGAGGCATCTCGTGGTTATAAAAGTAGGGTAGCATAGCCCTTGAAGGAGCTCGTCAGAGATCAATGAATTGAATCATTGGCCCCGTTCTTGACTCTCTGTTTCGTTGTGTGTGTGCGCCTTACAGATTGTTCGGTGACAAAGGGTGTCGAGAAGAAGGTCCGAACGAGTTGAGGTCTCTAGGTCTCTCTAGGTAATACAGCTTGAAACCAGGTAAGAAGAAAGATCTAAAGACTGTTATTTCTTCTTCCTAGACCGTTGGGGGGTTCGTACGATCTCGTATTCGAACGGGGACCTTCTAAGGAGCTCGGTATTTAATTATCTCTTACTGGCTCGGGGACCTTAAGAGATTGCGCTATCGACCTAATAGTTTGAAAGTCTGCTGATCGGGGAAACGGAGCTGAAGGTACTGACGTAGATGACTTACGTGGCCTTCAGTAAGTGGCAAGAAGTGCCCTCTTCCTGATGGAATGTATACTATACCTGAAAATGGGATATCAACTTAGGGAAGGCACAGAGGGATATAAAAGAGGGTGAGACGGAAAAAGGGAAACTAAAAAGAGCAATAAAACAAAGAGATGCAGAATCTGATCGTAAGATCCTCGACCTTCGAAAAGTTCCTCTATCTACTTTTATGTCCACTTTTAATCTCTCTTTCCCGAGAAAGGGTCAGGGTGAAGAAAGACAAAACCCCTAGAACTGCAGGGGTTAGCGGGTGGGCTGTGGGGGGGCTGGAGGGGGAGCGCGACGCAGGCAGAGTCCTTTCGTCTCTTCGTTCCTCAAGTGTCGCATATCAAGCCTGCCTAGGGTGATTATTCATGAAGTGGCGATGTTACTCGCAACGCCGCTGTTGCCTGCTAGGCAACCGCTACTGCGTAATTACGCGACGGACCTTTCCTTTATATATAAAGAGCTGCACAACTCCGTGCGTTCGTTTATTCACTTCTTATTCTTTAGATAATTCTTATTAATTGCCTGATACTATCTCTGACCCGTGTATAGCTAAATGTCTAAGATTAAGGCATGCCGGTGTAGCAGTTGCCTCTATAGTTACGATGGGCATTGGCTACGAGGGATGCCGCTAGGGATTAATGTTAGAGAGTGCATTCCGCTTTTATATATACCTCGAGCTATATACCCTAATATTAAGCTAATTTTGCTAATGCGTAAAGCTAGGTAAAGGGGGACGAGACAAAACATTAACATCGGAATGTAGTACTAATTATCTCTACCTTTTAGGGGCCAACCAAGCGTTAGGGGAGCTAAGGGTACTATCAGGACAAGAAAGGGCCTATAATACGCGTTAGTAACACCTCTATCGGGGGTGCCCTCATTTTGCATGGTGTAGCGGTATTTTACCAGCTTGACAGGTACATATATAAAAAGAGTAGAATATCCCTAAATCCTAGCACATTTAGCCATTACTTTACATTGATCTTAGCATACTTCAAGCAGAATATTCTCAGCCATCTATCATGAAAACTACCCTTATCTATTTCGTCTTTGCTACGGCCGTCGCTGCAGAGTGGCGCCGTTGTGGCTCCACCGACCAGACTAAAAAGATTTGCAAAACCAGTATGCATCGATGCAACTGGAATTTGAGGGATATGTGTGACGTTGGCAAAGCGGATAGCGAAACGCAGCTTCAGTTTCTAGAAGCATGCCAGGGTCAGGGAGTAACCGAAAGTTTAAGTTGCGATAAAGGTAAGTTATCCTTAACTATCCGTGTGTTGGTTGTACTTGACTAAACTAGGCCTGGGTTAGCGAGAAACAAGGTGGCAGGTGTAGCGGTTAAAGTCTTAATCGCAGCTGCCAAAAAGGCCCAGGCAAGCCAAGGAGCCCGGGCCGTTGGCTAGTATTTAAATACAGCGCACAGAGCACTGTATAGCATCAAGCTGCTCTTAGGGCCTAAATCTTAAACTTATAAGGTGTAAGAGGCTGGCCCGGATTTTGTTCAACAAGCAGTGCCTATGTGTTGTCTATCTAGAGCTAAAGTCTAAAGAGAAGGGAAAGTCCAACTCGAGGCGAAGCCTCGAGTTGGACTTAAATACGAAGAGAATGTTGTCACAGCAACCGGCTCCGTAAAGCGGAGCCAGTAGTAGAGTAGAAGCCCTCAGACCCAGTACAACCAAGTCCACCATGCCAGGCGCAGCCCGTGACAATGATTTCCCGGGCTGTCCTTTCAGCCTCCGCAAAGGCACCCAAAGCAAGCGGTCGAACAACTCCGCCCAAGAACGATGCAAATTTGTATCACGGGTAAAGTCGTAGACCATCTTTTTGCATAAGGTGGTCTTCCCAACTCCTGCGCGTCCCCGAATCAATTGGCTCCCACCCTGTGGTACCATCAGACCATCTTAGGAGGAAGGCGTGCTTTCCCCATCGAGCCAGTAAGCATTCCACCTAGTAGACGTCGGCATTGCCATCTTTGCTATCTCGCTAGGTTGGCTCTTCTAAGTTACCTTTTACGGATACCTTAGTTCTCTCCCCTAAGATTGCGTGTCCGTGACCATCGACTTTCGAGCTAGCGTATGCCATATATAAGGTAGCCTATATAAACTATAGCTAAAACGTTGCCGTGCCGTTGTCTCGGACGCACTTAAGCACCGCATCGGAAAGGGGCTATTCCTCGTAGCTTGCTAGGCTAGCTACCTTACTATTTAAAGACGAGATAATGTCGCTGTTGCTCTTTTGCCTCCGGGCACGGCGTGGTTAGGATCTCGGGGGCTACTAAAGATCCTTAACTCGATCGCGCCGCCTATAAGCCGAGGCCGTAGCTTTATAACGCCTGCGTGCTAGCATGCCCTTATTATTACTATAATCTATCCGGTCTTCTACGTAATCTCTCTTCGCTGCGGCACGACGATAACTATACCTGCTGCGGATAGTCTAGGACATCTGCAATCGCCTCCTCCTAGTCTCGTTGGTATTTTAAGAACGAGATGCCCTAGGATCTTTATTAACGTATTTAGACTCCTCGACGCGTGCTCGATTAATTTATAGTGAGGGGTAAGGAATAAGCCTACGATTGTTTGCTAATAGGAGATGCCGTTCGCCGTTATTAGTTAAGCTTCTTTAACTGCGGCCGGAATTGCCGGGTTCTATTATAGTCCTTTGAGCTAGAGTTAATTCGTCGGCCCCTCTATAGCCTAAGCTATTATAATATGGGGCGGCAGCGCTTAGTTGGCCCTCGACGTTAGAACCACGAATAAGTCCGTGTCGATTTAGGGGAGGAGTCGTGCTTAGGTTAACCCCTAGCTTAGGAGAAACAGCATCGGCGGCAGATATAGGACGGGATTAACACAAGGTATTCGCATCTTAACTATATAAATTATTGCGATCTTCGGATATAGGTGGCTCTATCTAGAGCGAGGCGGTCGCGACGGGCAAGGCATTAATAAGGTTACTAAAGGATAAAGCTAGCGACGATATCCTTATAGTAGCTAGCCGTCCTACTTAATCGATGGTAGATGCACTATATAGGCGGGCGTTTCTAGTTATTTCGGCGACCTCGGACTCGTAAGTATCGGTAGATACTAAAAGAACTATTAGCCTATCTACTCGCTAGAACGCTACTTTAGGATTGCTAACCTCTAAACCGTTTACTAGTAATAGATACCGTATTAGTAGTAATTAACGGAAGCGAGTTATCTAGATACGACTTATTAGCGTTAAAATTATATTCGTTGTTATCGTTATTATTATTTACGTTAGATTCTTTATCGGAAGAAATTAATATTATATTATTTATAGTCTATAGCTAACTAGCTAATAGATGTCTTTGCCCCTTATCCGCCCCTATAGAAGCGTAACGTAAAGACGCTACTATTATAGCTAGAGGCAACTAGTATCCCGATAAGCGTAAGAACTTTATAACGGAAGGATCTACTAAGTGCGCCCTAGAAGAGTCTAGAAAACCGGGTTATCGAGAGTAATAAGAGTAGTTATAGTAGAGGGGATACTACCGCGTACTAAATACTATCTTATAGGTGATATAAGAGCTTCGTTAATAAGCCTTCTCTAAATAGGCGCGGGGTATAATAAGCCTTAAATGCTTAAGAAGACTGCTTAGCCGGCTCTAGATAGGTTCCTTATCCTTAATCCCTTATCGCTAAAAGATGCGATTCTTAAGAGCTAAGTCTAGACTCCCCTCGAGTTAGCCTTTATCTCGGCTCTTATCCGGCTTTACCGCTAAGTACCCTAACGCCGAGCCGTATATAACGCAATATAGTCCGGGCGTACTTCTCGGCTAAGTAATATAGGCGTAGAATAAACTAATTAGATCCGGCGTCTTCTAAATCCGCCTAGCGCTCTATACGTTAGCTCTCTATACTATATCGTAGGACCTCGGTTCCCCTAGTTACCTTCGTCCTACTCGTTGTCGCCTATCGGTTAAAGAGTCTAGAATCCACTCGAGCGCGTCGTCGGAGTCGATCTCCTTATGCAAGTTTATCTCAGCTTCTAGGTCCCGAGACCGAGCCAAGCATTCGCTTAATCGAAACGAACCTCGTAAAAGACCTCTAGGGGTTGGTCGCGATCACGCTATTGCTAACGATATAGCCGGTCGGAAAGCGCTAGGCCGAGGCAACGCCGAGCCGCGATCGTCGCATCAAAGGTTCCCGCCCCGTGCTGCTAATAACGTGTCACCTTATTGCGCCCACTCGTAATATTACATCGGCTCGTTAAGGCGTTAACCGCTGCCGTAGTTAGAGCGTTGCGGAGGCCTCGTTAACCGTCGGAGAAGTGCGACGCATGCGGCATTTTTGCTATTAGCTGACAAGCTATCACGCTGTTCTAAGCCCCTAGGCCGAGGACGGTTGCGCTCGTTTAAACGAATAGGTATATAACGAGATCTAGATTAAATAGAGGGATTCGAG